ATATATACTGTATATATATATATATATATATATATATATATATATATAATTATTATTATTATTATTATAAATGAAGTAATTATTAATAAAATAAATTATATTGTCTGTTTTTCCTTAACTACCCAGTCTGATTTAATCTCAGAGATCCAGAAAAATGTAACTGAATAAAGATTTTTATTTACAAATTGTGAATATTCAGTTTCTTCAGTGTATAGAGCAAAACATGGGGTATAGATTTGGAAATATTTCCTGTTTAACACTAAAAGCAATACATTTTGAAAACTTCTCATGGCACCTTTTTTTGGTGTTTGTTGTGTGACTCATTTTCCATAAATATAGAATAGAATAGAAAACAGCAGAACAGAAATACTAATGTCCGAAAGATTCAAATCTGTAAGATTTTTTTGAACAAAATCTCTTATGGTCACCAAGGCTGCATTCATTTGATCAAAAATACAGTAAAAACAGTAATACTGTGAAATATTATTACAATTTAAAAGAACTGTTTTCTATGTAAATATATTGTAAAATATAATTGATTCCTGATCAAAGCTGAATTTTCAGCATCATTACTCCAGTCTTCAGTGTCACATGATCCTTCAGAAATCATTCTAATATGCTGATTTGCTGCTCAAGAAACATTTATGATTATTATCAATGTTGAAAACAATTGTGCTGCTTTATATTTTTGTGCAAACCGTGCTAAATGTTTATTAGTGCTGTCAAACGATTAATCGCGATTAATCGCATCTTATATAATATAAAAATAAGAATATAAATGTATATACATGTAAATATTTTCAAATATATACTGTATGTGTGTGTATTTATATATACATAATAAATATACACAATATACACACATATATTATGTAAACAAAAACTTTTATTTTGGATGCGATTAATCGCGATTAATCGTTTGACAGCACTAATGTATATTTAGGATTCTTTGATCAATAGCACTTATTTGAAATAGAAAACTTTTGTAACATTATAAATGTCCTTAATGTCAGTTTTGATCAAATGCATCATTGCTGAATAAAAGTATTAATTTCTTTAATGAAAAATCTATATGCACCTTTTGTACGCTGGCTGTAACAGCCTACAAAGCAGTCTTGCATGTTAATTTAAGGCTCAACCAGCGACTAGTTTAGGAAAACCTGGTTGAAAACACATGATTGCATTGCAGAAATGACACACTGCAGCTCTGTCTCTGACCTTTAATTTGCGGGAAAATCAGCAGCATGTGTGTTTCGTGTGCAGCCGTGTGTTTATGTGCTCATGTGTATGTGTGTGTGTTTGCACACAGAGAGCTGTTTGTAAAGCTAGACGAGCGACTAACCTGTGATCTCTGGGGGGTGAGAGGAAGTCAGAAGGGGTGTCCGTTCTAAATGGAATTCTAGAACAGAAACGGCAAAAGAGCGG